ATTTAGTTAATTAATTTTTGATTAACCTTTGGTTTGGAGAATTTGAGTCAAATAAATTTTTTCAATTTAGAAAAAAAAAATTAATGAGATATGTAGATAAAAAAAATTTACAAGTTCTAAGTGTACTAATACTAGTTTTTAAATTAAATAGTAGTTGAAATGTTATAACCACCAAAATCTTCGAAATCAAAAATTTTCCCACAGTCTTAAGTACATTAAAAAAAAGTCAAATTGTAAAAGTGTCCAATGAGCGATTTTTGAAAAAGATATTCAAGTGACACTTATAGTGAAAGAATTTAACGTTAAAAACATTTCAATTCAGCCCTCTTAAAAGTTAACAATTTCAACCTTCTTTTTAAGAGCGTAGCAAAATGTAATTAATACGAGTTGTACTTATACTGAAGTTAACTTGATGGGGAAGAAATCAAGTATCATTAAAATGGCTTAAAGAGTTTTTTCATCAACACGACTTATAAATAAATGAAATTTGTGTTTGCTTACTTAGTTGCTGTTAGCGCTAATAGCAAATAAAAATGTTCAATTTGACGTGCATAGTGTTGGAAACTTGTTGGCTAATAACCATCGTCTAATATTGCGGTGCTGTTCAATTTATTATTCTACTGACTCTCTTCAATATTATACATTCGAGTTTGAAACGTAAATTATCCTGGCTTTTGAATTGTTCAGAATAAATCAGGGAGGAAAAATAACGTCGAGAAAGGAAATGAAATCAACCCTCGTGCTGATGTATGTTTGTTTGAGAACATTGAATGAAAGCAATAGTGATGATGAATATGTTGACACGTCTATATTTAAGCAAATAATTTTTTGAAAATTGACATTTTCAAAAATCTAAGACGAAAGTTTCAACGAGAAATGTTATTAAAAAAGAAATTATAAGTTCATGAATGAGTTTGATCGTCAAATTTATCTTGCGTATACTTGTTTTTCCCTCGTAATTTTGAATCAAAGAATAATTGGAATTCACTTTTCTTCTTCTTACTTGTTTACCATCCTTAATTCCACATTAATCCAAAATAGATGTAAAGTTATCCTAAAAGTCAAATAAATTATTATGGAATAAAAAAACTAAAGTGCAATGATGATCTAAACTCCATTGCAAGTGGAAATTCGATACAGAAAAACGAAAATCAATTGTTTCGAATGCTCAGAAACAGACACCCATAATGTAAGAATAGTTAAATATGTATCGGGAATATGATTTCTATGGAAATTCATTGAATCATTGCGAATCGCGTCAAAGCTTGAGATTATTAATTCTGTTTATTTATTACTCGAGTTTATCGTCTGATTTAATTAACTTAAAATTGCGATGTGAAAATATAAATGGGTATTTAATTTTTCATGCCTTTAGAACTATTATCTAAATAAAATAAAGCAGTTCATGACTCATCAGTTTTGACGAATAAGTTTCAAAGATTCCAAGTCATAATTTTTAATATGTGTGTTAAACTGTCCAATTAGCACCATGCTGCAACATAAATTAGGAATGTTTAATGAAATGTAAACTTGAAAGTTCATGTTTTTAATTCCTGTCAGCAGGAAGTAAATTAAAGAAAAAATCTTATGAATTTCATTTTAAATCTTATTCAATAGAATAAGGGAAAAATAAAAACGTCAACAAATGTCACGCTGATATGTGACATGAAGACCACCCAATAATAAACGTGTAACAAGATATCAAATTAGAAACGATATCATTACATGTTATTGTGCATAAAGAGAACATGTTAGTGTTAACCCTGCAGTTGACTACCATATAATATCATTCATTTATCTATGACACGAAGAGCAGTAAATGAAGTAGTTACATAAATACATTCTTTGTATTATTTTCATCACATTTTTCATTAAAATAAGAGAGAAAACTATAGAAAAATTTAATCGTAAAACACGAAATAAAAAAAAGATCTGTCAAAGACGTTTGCATTATTTTCTTCTTATTAAATATTAATTTAAAGTTGCAATAGAGAACATAAAAAAGTACAAATTCTTTCTGTTTCTATTTAATACCGTATTAGAGATATTTAATATTAAAATATTTATTTTTTTACGGAGCGAATTACTTACATAGGATTTTTATTTCTTTCAACACGTGTATGACCGTCGATTGAAGTTTTCATAGCTTCCGTGTGACTAATTTGCTCTTAAAAGCATTGATTGTTTGTGTAATAGATTTTATTAGAATGCATAAAGATTTATGGATTAATTGTGTTCTGATGGGTTGAGCATAATGAAAACCGCATATGAACTATAAATGGGACGACGAAATTGTTTCTAGTGTAATGTCAATCTATCATTCAAGGAATTAAAAATGTTTTAATCCTTACTTAATTCTTTAAGTTCAAACAGCTTTTAGACTTCTTGATAATCGATGGGATTATGTTAAATTTATTCGACATAAGTTTCCCATTCATTAAGAATCACTCTTAATGACACGTGTTGAAACGTTGCCAAAAACTTCCACTGCATCCTTGTGACTAATTTGAACATAAAAAAGTTGATTGTCTAAAAGATATTTCATAGATTGTGGGTTGGTTGAATAAAAACCACAAATAATGGAATTGTAAACAGCAATTAATCATGTTGTTGGTTTTAAGATTACATTTTAAGAGTTGAAAATTTATTTTTCTATCTGCTAATGGAAAGTCAAATGATCAATAAATATATGTAAGCAAACAATTTTCCATTATTTTTGTTAATATTTATATATGTATGATATAGGTATATTTATATAAAGATAATAAAGAATTTTTAGCTTGGCTTCAAAATATACGAAGAATTTTTGTCGCCTGGAAAGGAAACGTTTGATCATAAAAAAATAAATCTACAAAAGTTGTGTATAAGTTTTCTATTCAATAGCACATCCCTTGTAAAGAACGAAACGTTACGTTAAGTTCCATGGAAAATTATTTCATTGTGCATGGCAAATGGCACAAAATTGAATAAATAAACTTAAACAGCAACAGACACAATGAAAATGGAATAACGACATTTATTGTTAAATAAACTAAACATTTCATGAATATTTTCGTCGATTTCCGGTCGACTTCCGCGATTTTTTCATGTTGGTGGCAGTAAAAAGTTAATATCTACATTAAATTCACGAAGTGCACAAATGGTTCTTTGTGAAATAAGATCATTTCGACAAATTGGCAATTTAGAAGTCAGAAAATTTATTCACATCTATCTGACTCCTTTGAGAATCGAAATTGAACAAAAAGTTTATTGCGAAAATGTGCAAACTTCCTAAAGACATTCATTGCCAGTTTTGCTCGTAGTTCACATTGGAAAAATTTCCAATTTAGATGCAAATCTAAGCATATCTCAGAAACTGATGAATTGCAAATCGCTGTTTATGTTTGAAACGAAGGTTCCCTTACTTAAACTTCTGTTTTCTACATAATTCAAGTGTTCTCACAAAAGAAATAAAAGATTTAAATCTCATTTCATAACTTCAACTTAAAAGATAAATAAAGATGGACAATACCAGATAAAATCGTATCAATCAACCCTCCTGCTTACTTAAAGTCCATTAGCAAAACGATAATAAAGTCGTTTTTCTCCGCTTTCAAATTGAAAAGTTTTTAATATTTTTATTCGTTTTTTCCTTGTCATTTTATAGCTAGAAGACTTTTTCATACTTGTTTTCCATGAAAAAGAAAATACTTAAAAGCCAAATCAGTTGGTGGAACGAGAAAATGTAAAAAATAACTCAACCGAAACAAAATCTAATAGAGTCTTAAATATTTCTGAAATCGAAGTCGATTTTAACATAAAAAATTTAAAGGAGTATATTTTTTTACTGAAATCATTTTGGAAAGAAAGATATGTTGTAGATATATAAAAGAAAAAACTCGTAAAGTTATGGCTTCGATAAAACTAAAAAGTGCAGAGTGAGCATGATTGGCAAGAGATTCGCATCAACCGCATAATCAACTCAATCATTATTCCCTAGCTCGATAAAAATCTCTGAGCATAAAGTGTTTTTAAATAAAATCCTTTGAATCTAAAGCAGCGACTTTGTCAATGGTGATGACAATGATGTGAAACATGAGTTGAATAATAAAATTCTTGATGAAAGAAGAGAAACATGTTGATAGCATCAGAAGAGTTGAAAGCTAATTGATAGCATTTAGACTGAATAATAATTTAGATTGGCAATTAGGAACATGAAACAGATAAAAAGCATCGTCATTATCAAGATAAGAATAAAACATGAAGTGAACAAACACATTGTTATTTCACATAAGGGAAGATATAGGAATTAAATATTTAGAGCGCACCCTCAGTGCAATTTTGAAGTAGATCTATCTCATTCTTTTTATTCTCACTCATCACACATAATAAAAATCACGAGGAATTACGACGACAATGCGACCCCATCAACGAACAAATAAAATGGAAAATGAGATAATTTGAAGCATAAAAGGCTCAGATAATATCTTAAGTGTATTAAGTTTAACAGCATGTATTCGCATGATGACAAAACCACCCTCGTAATTTGATGAAAACCACTCTTAATGCATAATAAATTAACAATCTTCAATGACTATCTACTTGAAAAGAGGGAGGATATTTTTCTTTAGTTTATTTTAATATATTTATATTCTGCTGTTCTTTTGACATAAGATTTCTGGGATGCTTGCGTAGTTGAGAAGTGTGCTTCATTTTTAACGTTAATGTGTTGATCATCATGAAACGTTTTCATGCTTTTATGTTGGAAGAGAAAATAAGAAAATGAAACATTCACAAACTTGGATGACTCCGATTGGCTAATAAATTCATCTGTATTCGTTTTGAATCGAGATAAAAAAAATTCGTGAATTTTCTATGCTTTCTGTGAAGGTAGACAATTAAACGTATCCAACACTCTTTTTAGAAATGCTTTTACCTATTTTCAGTACGAATTCCAATCTCTTTTATCATTATTTTATGATGACTATTAAATCATGAAATTTTCCAAAATTAAATTCTTTACTTAAATGTCAGGTTTTTCATACATTTTCCTGATGATCTTATTTCCTTTCTATTCCCAAATTTAAGTTATCCTGAAAAAACTAAATTCAAATTCAAATCTCATATCAAGATTGAAACTTTCGAAAGGCTGGTGCTTAATATAAAACATCATTCACAATTTGTGAAGCAAGTTAGGAAAATTATTACAAATAAAAATAATTCTTCTCTCTTCTCTCATCATTAAGATGTAAACAGATTTCAAGCAATTAAAAATCAATTTTACTGTGACTTAGTAAAATCTCCAATATCAATTTAACAAGAAATTTGACAAAAACTAACGATCATCCATATATTTTATCAAGTAGGTATTTCAAAACATTATAAAAAAATTTAAGTGAAACTTCCTGTTTCAAGCTTAGAGCTATTTTCACGAGAGCTTAAATTCGATCGGTAAGATGAATGGACATTGAAATTAAACTCCGTTCTATTCCCCATCTTAAAACAATCTTTAGATTATTATAAGACAATTTTCTTCGTCTCTTTCACCTCCCAGATACATTCGATAATTAGCTTCGTGAATGGACTCCATAATGCGTCTTGTATTGAAACCGGAAATTTGAAAGGGAACAGTAAAAAAAGTTTTATTTTATATAATTTGATGATTTAGATCATCGCGTGCTTTTATGATTTCTTTTCGATCGACTCATCATCTTTATTAATTTTGTGTCATTTTGGTTACCGATGTCTGTTACTTTAAAACCTTAAATTGATACTTTGTCGTCTCCCGTGCTATTTTTTGATATCGAATGTTGAGAAATGTCGGCAATTAGACGACCAATTAAACTATTAAAGAAAATCTTTAGAAAGCATCGAACGATGTAAATTATGGGTTAGCTGGCCACTGCAAGGATTTCTGCTGTTGTAACTGGAATTAAACATGCTTCAAACTCATTCGGTAGCCGCTCATTATGTTTTCGCAATCATTGAACTATTTAATAATAGTAAAGAAATCGATGGTCAAAAAGATTAAGGCTGCTAGCTCATTCATTTACAATCATTCATCAATAAAATCTCAACTTTTGCTTAAAATATGATTAATTTATGAATGAACAATATTTTTTTTTCTGTCTCTTGTATCTTGTTACTAACTTCGCATCTCTTTTGTTTTTCCTTCTCAAACCTGTATCTAAGTCTACCAGCAAGCATCATGTATGTGTGTTGATGTGTAGTGGAAATGACATTGCGGTGTGAAATTAATAGAATCATGAAATATTATCCAACTCTTAGATGCTCAAAAAACCCTTCAGATTTTCGGGTTCGTCAGGTATGAAGATTTAGTATAGATGTTGGCGACGTTTAGATTGCCGGTGAATAGAAAAAAGAAAAAGAAATCTTGAAGAGAAAGGAACAAGAAATTTAAAACAAATTAAAATAAATTGATAGATACAGTTTAACGTTAGGTAGAGAATGCCGACGAGACAGCAAAAGGCAAATCATATACGACTAGAAAGGAACTAAAAAATGTAAATCAAGTCGAGTGTGAAATGATCAATCAAAATTTGTTAATGAAACTCGCCAACGATGTTGAACGAGATGAATTTGAACGGGTTTCAAAGGTGATGAAGAAAATTTGTTGATAACGAACCGCTTTGGAATCCACATTTAAATAAACAAAATGTGTCGTAAATTTATGGGATGGTGACAAAGAATCTTGCCGGGATAGCCACATGACTCTCAAATGATTCTATTTATGTCACAAATGTCACAAGAGAATTGTTTTGTCTTACCGGCCTTGTTTCTTTCTGAAAAATAAGGAAAAAGATAAAATCGTTTAGAATGTTAATAAATTAAAATTGACTATCTTTAAACTAATTTACACAATAATTCACACCGAAAGACGATATTGTTGTGCGTCTCATCATCTCATCCATTTACGATTTAAAATCCCCAACGAATATGTTTAATAAAATTTATTTTAAACACTTTCTCGCGACAAGCTTTTTCGATTTCTTTTCGCGTTTGTTGCGCCAAATAAATTAAATTTTCGATATGTTAAGTTAATATAATTTTAAAACGTTCTGTGAGACTCCATTAGCAATGTAGCACTTTGTGGCACTGTTCGTCAGATAAGAGTTGCAGTCTATTTAACGAATGACAATGACGAATGATGTTTGATTATGAAAGGTGCAAGCAAGCAACCACATCTTCACTGAGTTTAATTGCTTATCAAAATGAGACATTTATGGTCACAACTCAAAGTTCTGAACTTTCTCCATGCAATATGAATTAAAAACGTTCGATAAGATGAATGAAAATGCTCTTCATTTATTAGTTTGTTTTGTGATCATTCCAGTGATGTCATTAACTGAAGATAGAATCTCTTCGTCGACCTTTTGGGTAAACAATGAGATAGTATTCAATATTCAAAAAAAAGGGAATAACAATGAAGAGAAATGAGATAAAAAGAAACACAATAAATTGATACAAGCAATCAACGAAGTTTTAATTCCCTTTACTGTCTGTGTTAGACTGACAAAGAAACTCGAAACATTTATTGTAGGCGATTTATTCATCTTTTAGCGCTGACGTCAGATGAAATGAAAATTATTTCAATAAAATGGTTTTATTATTGAAGATGTTCATTTCATTAAGTTGGAGGTAAGGCTTGATAAATTTATTATGAGAGGCTTCAAGAGTATTTACTGAATAGTAACATGCATTCATCACGGTTTTTGTGTAAAATCAAGGCGTCATTGAATATTTAATGACCCAGTTAATTGTAAATAAATGAAATAATCTTTTGTGATAAATAAATCGAAAAAGCACTTTTTATTTTGTGTCATCAAAATTAATAGAAATTTCAAATTAAAATTATTATTTAAAAAACAAATTGCTATGAAGGAAAATCAATAAAGTAGGTTGTCCAGTATCCACATACAACTTTTGTTTTCTGATCAATATTTTTCAATGGTATTTCTGTAAATTTATCTTTTTTGCTAGACAGTGTCGACAGACCTAATTGACCAAAGTTGTTCAAGCCAGCTGCGAAAATCCGGTTATCTTCTGTTTTTAGAATAGTATGCTTTGATCCACAATAAACATTTTTAACTGTCTCATCTCTTTCCATTTTAATAAATTTTGGAGTTGTAAAAACCTGCTGCTGATTCGATGAAATGTTTTGAAATGTATGTTGGAAAACTTTTGGCAATCCAAGTTGCCCCGATGTATTCCATCCCCAAGTGTAGACATCCCCAAAAGAGGTAAGTACCACTGAATGAAAAGATCCTGTAGCTATATCCACCACTTTTAAGCCAGCAAGAGCTTCAATCTGCTTGGGAACTTTGAGTGAATTTACTTCATAGTGTCCAAGTGCTCCACGTAATCCACAGCCAAAACTAAAAACATCACCGTTCGATGTCAAAAGGACACAATGCTCCATTCCACACGAGATTTTCTTGATTCTTTGATGGCTTGCGAATTCATGAAGCTTTTTTTGAGTGTTATCATTTTTTATCTCATGAAGAGAAGTTTTATTTATTATGTAATATAAACCATTTTGTGAAGCACACATTGAAGTTATTTTTTGATTCTTTTCTTTCTGAATGGAAATTTCTCTTAAATTTAATTCTATAAAGTCATAATTGAAGAGAGTTTCATTGGCTAACAAAATCCAGCAGTTTTCATTTGTGGAAGAAATTTTCGTAATGATATCATTGAAATCTAGTGTTTTATTTTGGTTATTTTTTAATGAGCTCTTGATAATTAATATGTTTGACCGAATAAGCAGTTCACAAAATGCTGTTGAGAATATTTCTATTTTATCCTGTTTATTAATCAGTATTTCTGTAAGAGATATAACTAATCAATACATCTAAGCTTATTCTTTTTTATTTAATTTTTACCATTGTACTCTAGAAGGTTTTTATTTCCGTTTGAAATTAACTCGCTACTCAGATTAATCCCAAACACACGAATCATCTTATAAAATTCTCTCATTTAATTTCATGCTTTATAAATTTGATAACATTGTGTTTTTCAATTTTTTTATTTTTGTTAAGCCGTCGAACAAAAATATAAGTCAAAACTTTTAGGACTTTAAATATTTAATTAATAAATTAATTTTCTGAATCATTTGTCAAATGTTAAACTATAGTAGTGCTTTCAAACATTGTTTTTCTTGAACGCTGACTTAAACGAACTCAGCAGATTCAGCAGAAAATAAACTTTTNAATTTAAATATGTAATTTTCTATTATAATTAATCTATTATCTATAATATATTGTAATGTTTCATCATTTTGATAGGGATTATTTGAATTCAAACAGTTAAAATAAATCTTCCATGATCAAATTCTTTTATTTCACGGTGACATTATTCTCTTAGTTTTATTGCAGAACAAATATTTTGAATACAAAAAAATTTTACATTCGGATGTTTGACTTTCTATTGATAATACATTTCCAAG